CCCCCCCCCTCCAGTGAAAATTTCTTAAAAAAGGCACTGGGCCCATGTATCAAATGTATAAATGTATAAAATAAAGTCTCTTACTTGAAATAGTATATGAATAGAAAAGTATACGAAGTTGTTATTCAAAAAACCATAATCATGTCAACTAATTTAGAAAAGTTGTCGCGGGCTAATTTTATCACCACAACCGTCGAGCTGGAAAAAATAATTAGTGTCTCACTCAATATCCTTTTTTAAAAGAATATTTCTAAGACTTTTTTACAATGAAAATTTTTTATGATTTTTGCGAAGATTAATTTTCAAATTGACTGCCAGACTACTGTAGTTTCCACTCATATCGCGTCCCAGGAATCATAGCTCAGAAGTCAGGTGAATTTTCAGCAAAAGCAAATGGTCTGATTCCAGGCCCCTGAAGTTCTTCGGCCCTCGGTTTGTGTTCAATACTAAAGAATAATACGAAGAATAAAGAAAATACGAAGAATACTAAAATTACTCGTAAGTAGCTTGATGCGAAGCACGAAAACCCCATTATCCCCTCTTTGGCCTCTGATATCTGCCTTAGGATAAACAGTTCTTTTGGTATGCCAAAATATAGAGGTTCTTTTTCAAAACCGATTTAATTAATTTTTGGGGTTGACACGTCGAAATCCATTCCAGTTTGATCCTATCCAATCCAGTTTGAAATCCAATAATGTCTTTTAAATATTGTTAATATGTCTATTGCCATCTCTTATAGATTTTCCCCAAGTTTAATATATGTTTTAGTAAATGTGTATTTGTTGGTTTCAATAGATCCTGCACGTCTGGCTCGATCTCAAGAGAATATGGAACTATCAAGAAGACGGATGCAAGAGACAGTGAATGCAAGAGCAGCAGAATATACTGAGAAAATGAATGAAGTAAGTGTAAAGCCCATTTTTCCACTAGGCGAATTTGTTCGCGCGAACAGTAGAAAAGTAGGAACTGATCCAACTTTTTCGCGGCGAATTTTTTCGCTGACCAATCACATTGCCACGATTTGTTTTTCGTTTCGCGCGAACAAATTCGCCTAATGGAAAATGGCGCGCATCAATATTTGCTGTCATCATTACTGCAGACCAAAGGTATGTTTACACGCCAGCCTCGTAGGAAAGGGAAAATTCGGAGGGAAGCTACGTGCAATTATTCGCCATTAAAATATTGATATTAATTAATTAATTGCAATTGAAAATATTCGCCATTAATTGCAATTGAAAATATTCGCCATTAAAACATTCAGCAAAACCTACTTATTACATTTATTGTGTTATTTAGGTTGAATTATGTATATATTAAAACCCGTTACCCGCAGTCTTTTGTGTGTGATTCCGTGAACTATAATAAAAACTGGAACGATAACTCGGGCTGTGTTTTTGAAGCCAAAGATGGCGGAAGATGAAGCACGTCTTCTATAGGTATAACGCCTATGCAATTTCCCCACGCGGAAATTCACTGAATTCAGTACGAAAAATCGGCATCAGTTTTAAAAGTACGGTATTTGTCACTAGAAATGAGCATTTATGTGCAAAAATGAAACATCGATCGGAAAACCTTAGTCGCTGTAGGCTGCCATCTTGGTTTCCCCCAATCATAGGGCCGTTTACCTTTCCAGTATTTATAGAGTTCACTGATATGATCCGATCGCGACCATAAATTCAAGGATAAAAGCATCTGACATTGTATAATTATGACTTTTCTGTTCAGTCTAAAATATCTGGCGAAAAGCTTTTGTGCCTCTCCGTCCTGCTAGTAAATTATTATACGTACGCGAAGTAGGACATGAACGTTGAAACCGCAATTAAATATCGTTGAATTCTACTTTGCTTGCATCTAGAAACCTAGCAACCTTCAGTACATGCATGTTTCCTTTTATTCCATAACTGGAAAGTCAATTATGCATGATGGTTTGTCAGATTAAATATTTACAGTAGTTAACCCAGTTTGATATTTTTCGTAAAACACACAACTGTATATAGTCGCATAACCATATTTTTAACCCGTGTGGTTGTTTTAGATGGATGCCCAAAAACGAAAGGAGAAAATTGACGATTGGGAGAATGTTCAAAAAGGTCGAGGTCGATCGCGACATTTAGTTAAACCAGACTATAATCCACTCAGTGGCACTACTTCTGGCTCGTCGTACAGACCATCTAGCCGAGGGAATACAGGTATGGAACTAAGTCCTCAGATCTCAATTTTGAGCTACTCTAGTTTCGGCTTTCGGATATGCTCCCTTTCAAGAAAACAATGATCAAGCTCAGAACTTGTTGCATTAAAAGTGAAAGCAGTTGACTAGATCACTTGAGAAAGCATTACAACAATACATTAATTTCATGGAATTCTAACTCTTCCGGAAGGCATGCATCTGACTACCCTGCTTCCAATAGTTTGACTCAGTGGTTTGACTCGTATTTTTTGTGCCAGCTCTTGTTTGTTGTACCGTGTTCACCAAGGCGTAAAAAAAAATACCTGTGGTTCCGGTTCCCGACCGACCCTATTTTTTTGCCGACCCTGTTATTTTTTCAACGCGATTGATCGTGCGACCCTATTTTCTCCAGGTGGTTGCGGGCTGCTCATACAGCGTGCCAAAATGGCGTCTGTCTTAAATTCGTCCATAGGAAATACGCATCTCTAGTTAATATTGATGTCGGGACTCTACTGCAAATCGCCCAGCAAAAAACCGCCAAAACCATGAAAAAAAACATTTTTTTAAAATTTTACCGACCTACCGACCCTAATTTTTTCACGATATGAAACCGGAACCACAGGTATTTTTTTTACGCCCAAGCTTGCCTTTCAGGCTGAGAGACGGGCCGGGTTCAATCCTTGGTCGGACCTCTACTCAAGGTCTTAAAATAATTGAAGAGAAAGTGCTACCTTTACATTGACATCAGTAAATGGATAGACTTTTGCATCTTCTCGGACCCCTATCAATTGGACAATAGCCTGTTGGGAAATCCGCTGACCAATGAGTGAAAAACTCAATAGAGCGTTTGCACACGACGTCGCCATGTTGGTGTTCCAGTTCAAAAAAAATTTAATTAGACTTTTTTGTCTGGAACACCAACATGGCCGCCATGGCTTTTGTTGAGTTGGTGCCTGGGGAATGAGTGCAAACGCTCTATAAACGCAATAAACTTAAAGTGTATATGAAATGAAATTTCTTATTTTCTTAAATGAAAGAACTCTTTAAGCTGTAGTGCAACTTATTTTTCAGTTTCTTGTTTTTATGATTTGTTCCCGAGATATTTTAATTTGTTTGATATGTAAATGAGTGTGAATATGTACGCTAACTTATGACGTCATGTTGGTTGCAAGCTCTTTAAAATGGTTGAATATCACTGCTATCATCCAAGATGATAATTTCAAACTTCGCTCACTGGTAAATGTGATGAAACCCTGGAGAAAAACGTGAACTGATATCAACAGTTTTTAGAGTAGTTAATACATTTATAACCAAGTAAGTCGAGCTTGCAACCAACAAGACGTCATAAATTAGCGGACATATTCTCATTCATTTACATATCAAACAAATCGAAATATCTCAGGAACAAACCATAAAAACAAGAAACTGAAAAATAAGTTACACTACAACTTAAAAAGTTCTGTCATTTAAGAAAATAAGAAATTTCATGTCATATACACTTTAAACTAACCTCAAATTGCATTCCTCTAATTGTTAGTTTGCTTGTATACGTAATTTTGATTGAATCTCTTTTTCCTTGTAAAATATTTTTATTTTCTCCTTTAGGTGGTGGATGAGGTTAAATACACGGCACGTGAAGATCAAAGATATTGTTGTTGTCTATAGCGTTGAAAATGTTTAGGATTACAACAATATTTTTTACGTGCTGTTCGAACTTGACGTAAATATACTGTATTCAATCATGCAGTGGTTCGGCAAATTGGGTTTGCTGTTATGATGTTTATTCTTGAAACACAGTAACTGTGGAAGAATTAATTGAAGAAACACACTGTACTAATAAGAATTACATTTGTTTACTTTTGCCATGTTAATGTAAAAAATAGGTACGCACTGCGTACATGTGGCCTGTAAAGTTCAATACACCCTTCCAATAAGTGCGTCACTTTAGCTATAAAGCCTCGTTTTCGTGCATGTGAAATTTAATGTCTAATGTATCAATGACCAAAGCGAGGCTCTATGGCCAAAGTGACATACTTTCCGGAAGGGTGTATTGCAATACGAAATATAATAAAATAGAATGTTTCACAAACGAGACAAGTAGATCCAATATTATATTTTTTGCGATGCCTACAATATCACAATTATTACTAGATTTCAGAGAAACGGTCGATAGCAATGAAGCACCTAACAGTAATGAGGCTACCATACCTTTAAAATAAACTAGTATACTTATCAGTAGTAAATGCTGACTTGCTCCTTAATTTGACGATATATCAAAAACGGCCTCATCTTTCCATATTAACAACCCCAGTTTAAATACAATTGTAAGCTCCTAACCCATCGTAACTGTAACCTCAACACTAACTTAATCTTTGTGACGTCATTATTGTAAATATTATGAATAAATCCTTGTTTCGGTCACAAATATATTTCTTTGATCTTGACCGTAATCACAACCCATCCCTCACCCTGGCTTTATTGTGCGCGAAACATGTGAATCTAACCATAAACTATTTCTTAATCTTTCTATCCTACCGCTACTCTAATATATGTGATATCAGAACAACATAGTATGGAAACTTGTACCTATTTTTGGAACCGTTTTACTGGACCACAATATCAGCCAATAATTCTTTTAAGACCACACAGATTATTGCTTTTAATTACACAACAACGACACACTGTATCACCATAGCTAATAGAGTAGGTGGTTTGGAAACTCTTTAGAATAACAACATAACTCTTTATTTATGTTAGTCAACGTTTATTCATAAATCTGTTCCTTCACCGGCACGTGCATGCGTATTGTATTTTTGCCCAACTAACCAATAGCAATGTTTTAGGAAAGTTACCTATCCGTGACTCGAACAATAGGGTAAACTGGAAATTGCTATTGGTGGATTTGTCAAAAATACGATGCACACGTGACGATGAAGGACCGTATTTATGAATAAACGTTGACTAACATAGATAACGAGTTATATTGTTATTCTAATGAGTTTCCAAGCTATCTATTTTATTAACTATGGTATCACTATTAAAGACCACAAACTCTACTTCAAACTATCACAAGACCACAACTATACAGTGAGTACGTAGTCTCCTTCGCAGCCGCTCTCTACCAACACCCGAATCGGATGTAAATTTACCGTTTGTAATACAAAATGACTGAAAAACGGCAAACTTCGAAAGGCTATATTATCCGCATTTTACAAGATTTTGCAACAAAACTTTGGAATATTACTAATTTTGTGATGCTCTTTCAAGCTTTCAGAAATTTTTGTCTAGATCGAAATTTTAGTTATAAGGGGAAAGGTCCATTGACTAGCCAGTACTTCTTATTATTCCAAAGAAAATACTGTAGCATCCTCGTCATCATTTGACGACTATACAACGACAATCAACCAGATCACAGTTAATGGACAAACAATTACTGGTAACGATAATATAGCAAACGAGTTTAACAATTATTTTTGTGAAATTGGCCCCTAAGCCTGCACAAACTATACCACCAAAGTAATGTAGATCCACTTCAATATATCACTGCTACTGTAATTTTAATAAGTTTGCATTTAGACAAATTCCGCCAATATAATTATGTAGAATACTAGACGGTATAAAATTAGCGAAAGCTGCAGGAATCGACAGAATCACAAACAAACTGTTAAAGGCTGCTGGCTATACCATATGTGAAACCTTGCTATATATTTTTAACCTGATCCTAGACATTGGTATACTTCCAGACGACTTAAAACAGGTCAAGGTTACGCCTATTTATAAGGAAGGTGACAAAAATGAATGCGGAAACTACAGACCTATATCTGTCATACCAGCAATTTCAAAAATATTAGAGAAACTAGTTTGTGACCAACTTCTCAATTTTCTGAATGACAACGAAATAATCACAAAACTGGCGCATCTGGTTTCTGTAAATATCACTCTACTGAAATTGCTCTCTTGCAATCAACCAATGAATATTTAATGAATATGGACAGAGGCTTAATAAATGATGTCTTGTTTCTTGATCTTAAAAAGGCATTCAATACAGTCGACCACAAAATTCTTCATCCTTCTTGCTCAACTTAAACTATATGGAATTCAAGGTGTAGCCTTTAAATTAATTTCTTCAAATCGTACTAAATTTGTAACCAATAGGAGTCAAATATGTTAGTTCAAGGTACAAATTCCCAACTGAAAAAAATGAGGTGTGGAGTTCCACAGGGATCAAACTTATAGGACCGTTATTATTCTCATTGTATATAAACGTTCTTCCTAACTGCCTCGAACAAACAGAGGCATCTATGTTTGCAGATGATACAAATATTTCAAGCATTGGTAATTCACCTGCGGACATAAATAACGATTTTTACAACGTCAACAACTGGTTAATAGCAAACAAGCTTACTTTAAATGTTAAAAAACTGAATTTATGCTAATAGCCTCTAAACGATAATTGAGACAATTCTCGTACGACCCATGTGTACTGATTGGTAGTCACCACATCAAACAGGTGACAAATAAGAAAGTACTGGGAATTACTTTAGACGATGAACTGAGATGGCATAAACACAATGATCTTCAATGCAAAAAACTATCCAAGAGCAACATTGCCTTACTAGGACGAGCCAAACGATTCGTTAACCAAAACGTATTATAATTAACATGTACAATTTACTAGTTGACGGCAGTCGTACACATACAGACAAGCTTGTAAAAATGCAAAAACGAGCGGCTCGAATTATCACAGGGTCAACTTACGAAGTAAGATCGAAAGATATATTTAATATTTTACACTGGGAACCAATTGAAACCACTCTTAAGAAAAGAGAAATGATAATGACATTTAAGGCCAACTGCCAGAATTCATGACCAATATCTTTAAAATTTGCTCAATTAAATTATATGTGTCCGTTAAGAAGTAATAACTGTAAACTTTATTTGGAAAAACCTAAAACAGATTCATGAAGAAATCGTTTTCATATCGAGGTGCTGCATCATGGAACAATCTTCCAAATGATCTTGCCAACAACTACTTACTACTGTATAAAGAGCTCTCCATAAGTAACTACAAAACTTTAATAACAACTGTTTTATCCATTTGGAGAGGAATACTGTGTGACAACTTGTGGGGCGGATTTGATCGAAGGAGTAAGTTTTGAGTCTGGGAAGGTTAACACTATGTACTACATCTAGCCGCAGAATATGTGAAGCATAAAATAAAGTGCTTAATAGCTGATATTTTACTTCGCTTGCATGATGATGATTTTGATGTAGTCGTCCAAAGAAATGGCATAGATTTATATCCATGATTTTAACCTGGTTAGAAAAGACCGCTCTGGTCAACGCGGGGGTGGAGTGCATTCGTAAAATCAAATATCCCATTCGTGCCTCTTCCTGACTTATGCTGTCCAGATCACGAGAGTCTGTGGCTAAAACTTCGACTCTATCGACTTCCACGGGAATATTCCTGCATAGTTGTTGGTCTTGTACACCATCCACCACAGGCCGATAATAACGAACTGTATGACCACCTCATAACCTCGTTGGACAAAATTTTAGCATCTTACCCAACAGCAGGTGTAATTGTTATGGGTGACTTTAACCAGTTCGACTCCAAACGCCTTTGCAGAAATACGTCACTTAAACAAATTGTAAAGAAACCTACTTGTGGGAATGCAACTTTAGATTTAATGTTTACTAATATGAAACGTTGTTACAATGACCCTGAAATACTCCCTGCTATTGGACAATCGGATCACATGTCAGTCCTGTTACACCCCGTTAGTAACAATCACCGCCCTAATACCATTACCAAAGTCAGAAAGCGGAAGCAATCAAATATGCAGGCATTTGGTCGATTTCTTTTGGATCTTAACTGGAATGTACTTTCGCAGCTACCCGATTGTCAAAAAATGTGTGACCTGTTTTATGACATTATTCTCATGGGTTTGGATACAATTTTTTCCCAAAAATCTGTTAAACTTCACTGTAGAGACAAAGCGTAGATTACCCCTGAAATCAAACTCCTCATCTCCCAACGACAAAAGGCCTTTGCCTTGGGAAATACAATTGAATACAACAAATTGCGAAATAAAGTAATTCACGTCGTGAAACAGGCAAAGTCTAAATACTTCGAGTCTCAAGTGAATCATCGAAAAAATTCAAAGCCAAGGAAATTGTGGAGTGCTATTAAAAACCTAGCTGGCTTTTCTTTAAAGCCTGCCTTCCATTCTGCAGAGGTGAATGGAACTATCTTGCAGGGACGAGACTTAGCACTCGCTGTTAATAACGAGTTTTTAGCGCCGCCACTAAATCGTTACCGCCGCTTTCAATTACTGATAAATTATCTGTGGAAGAACCTACCGTTTTGTACCCTATCTCCGTCGTTGATGTCGAATCGCGTTTAAAAGCAGTTAAATCGAATAAAGCTCCTGGTCCAGACTCTCTGCCAAATTGGATTCTCAATAACTTTTCAGTGGAGATTTCAGAACCTGTGACAATGATTTTTAATGCCTCCATTAAACAAGCACAAGTTCCAATGCAGTGGAAAGAAGCAAATGTCGTTCCCGTCCCTAAGACATCCTCGGTCACGGATATATCTTCAGACCTGCGACCTATATCTCTGACCGCCGCGCTCTCAAAGGTTCTTGAATCATTTCCATTTCAATGGATTATGGATACCATTAAGTCTCAGTTGGACCCAAAGCAATTCGGATCGTTAAAAGGCTCTTCTACGATAGACGCATTAATTAGCATGTTCCACTGTTGGTATTCTAACACAGACGGCAATGGCGAGACTGTTCGTGTTTTTCTGCTTGGTTTTAGTAAAGCATTCGACAGAATCAACCACAAAATCCTGATAAAAAAGATGCAATTACTAAATATTGATAAATCCTTAATAAACTGGGTTATTGATTTCCTGATGCAAAGAAGACAGAGGGTGAAATTGGGTTCTTCGTTCTCTGATTGGTCCTTGGTAAATGGAGGCGTCCCGCAAGGTACAATCCTTGGCCCATTACTCTTCCTCATCATGGTCAATGATTTGGCTATTAACCACAAAGATAGATGGAAATATGTTGACGACACTAGTCTCTCCGAAACAATCGGTAAAGGTTGTCAAAGTAACCTGCAATCCGTTATTAATAATATCGATCAATGGTGCACGGAAAATGATATGATGCTTAATCGTTAATTTCTAAATGCAAAGAGCTAATTATCTCGTTCGCTAAGGACGTCCCTAATCTTCGTCCATTGTTTATTAAAGATCACTGTATGTCCCCAGTTTTATCGGCAAAGGTTCTTGGCCTGTACTTTTCTTCTGATCTTAGTTGGAACTTACATGTTGAACACATAGTATACAAGGCATCAAAGAGACTTTTTTTTCTCCGAGTGCTTAAACGCAGCAGTCTTGGAGGGAGTTCTCTAATTCAAGTCTATACCACATGTATACGACCTGTGCTTGAATATGCATGCCAGGTTTGGAACTTAAACTCCCCTGACTATTTAAAGAAAGAAATCGAAAGAATTCAGAAGCGAGCCCTACGAATAATATGTCCTGACCTGTCATACCGCAAAGCCTTGGAAGTTCATGAATTATCGTTGCTCTCTCAAAGACGAAATAATTTATGTAAATCCTATTTTAAGAAACTTCTCAACCCGGAAAATAAATTGAATGAACTTATCCCTAATAAACGCGAGGACTTACGTACTTACAATCTACGTAATGATCAGCATATTAACTTAATTAATTGTAAGACTACAAGA